GTTTCATTAGGCAAAATTTGTCACTTTGATGACAATTGTACATATAACAGTGTGTGATACATGACTACATGTACACAAAGTAGAAATCCACATAGACTTGGTTTTTTTGCTGAAATGAAACCATCACTCTATGTCACGGAGTAAAATTCATAAAATGTATTTTGAAAGCACAGTTGATGGAAAATGCTTTGTGCCAGCAACTGTTTTGAAGAAGAGACTTAGAATGCCCCTGGCTACTCAGGGATCGTGGATAATTAAAACAAAAGCTGCTGACGCTGTTTTTTTTTTTTGCTATTCCGCTATTCCCCTAAACATAAGTATAAATTTTTGTGCATATGCAACAACCCAAAACAATGAGATTATGTTTGCTGTGTGTAACTATCCACAGCCCCTTAACAATTTGAGTAATCACAATTCATGTATAGCTTAATTTTACTGAATCTCCTGTAGCATAAAAAATTGTAATAAAAACCCTGCATGACTTCTAATCAACATGAATGACTGATTTGTTTCTTGGAGGATTTACAAAAAAAATAAGCCCAATCATTTTGTTGAGCAACAAATTACAATTTAAATTGTATTTTGATAGCTCTAGGTTACTGTAGCATAGAATTTATATTCTTAGGGATTCACCTTTCTCCATGGAGCCTTAGCAAGATAGATGAACGCAGATCCTGCCCTAGAATTGCTGATTTAAAATACCAACAGGACATACATGTACATAGGGAATACAACACTGTACATTCAACCAATCTGCTAAACATGTAATTTAGGTGATGGTTCTTCGAACCCGCCTACTCACATAGTTCATACCCACCATAGACTCCGGTCAGTCAAAATGACTATTTTGAACTGTAGGCATTAATCAGCGATTCTGCCGGTGACGGAGAGATAGAATCTAGGTCTGGCGAAGCCCCATGACGCCAAGATTCTTTTACCCCTTACGCCACGAACCCACGTGACCGAGGCCACATGACAGCACCATAGGCGGCCGTACAATCACTCTGGTTCCTTTCTCTCCGCCTCAAGGACTTAGACCAATGCTACAGAAAAAGTGGGGTGGTTGGGGGGGAGAGTCTATGGTGGGTATGAACTATGTGAATAGGCG